TTCGATTCCCGGCGAAGGCGGTTGATAATTTTTCATCTTGCTTGCTTCCAAAAATTAATAATGTCTCTACAAGTGGCGACCGAACTAAAAGGGTTGTGGATGATGATTCTCCGCACCCAGGATTTGGCGACTAAGTCCCTAAAACCCTAGTCGCCCTTTAAAAAGGGGAGTATATAAGGTATTTCTCCCACTTCCCTAGCGTGCCTTCGTGGTGTAACGGTAGCACGCTGGTCCGGTATTCCAGACGTCCGTGGTTCGATTCCCGGCGAAGGCGGTTGATAATTTTTCATCTTGCCTGCTTCCAAAAATTCTTAATGTATCTACAGACTTATGCTATCTAGAGAGGTGGAAATCTTATTTGATCGAAAATGTTTTATTAACAGTTTTAATAGTTTATATCTTTAATAGGTAATATATATTTTTTGCTAATTTGCAATTATAGGTCATTTGTTTACAATTTATGGTTAAAATTTCATATTCTTCCAGAAATTTCTATTGCACATGCATGGAATGATCAAATGTATTTGCCCTGAATCGCAACATTCTGGCAGTGTTTGTAAAATGCTTCTACTCCTGTAAATGTGTTTTCCTTTATAGGAAAACTACTGCAGGAAGTAGTTTTCCTAGTACACATTAGCTTTCGGTTACTTAAAATACGCTCGTCATTACTAGGGTTTCTGATTTCCCGCCCTTTTTTCCTGTCCGGGAACATTCATTTCCTAAATTCCTAGGAATGCAATAAAATTTGAAAAATGCAGTGAATTAATTATTTTTAATTGCTATCAGTAAGAATTACACAAAATAAAGATATTCATAAATTTCAAAAATTATACTTCTTTACAGAGCTACAAAATACAAATAATATATCAGTTACTCATTTTTAAAGTATGATTTAAGAAAATATATGCAATCTATGGTTCTAACCCTCAGCCTAGTTCTTAGCTTTGTTATGAATAACCCGGCAGCAGAAAAATGCCTGATGTTTGTGGAACAAAGCCTCACCCAGTTTTACAATATTTAATGATCGATTTAGCGTTGAAACAAATAACTGCAGTTCTTGCTTCACTATTTTGATCAAGCTGAGATTTTGTTTAGTTGAACAACGTACGATTTTCTTAGTTGAACAACGTTTGTCTTTGAGTACATTGCTTTTTCTGATTTTTCGTCCAATGTTAAGTATTTCTTTTCCAAAGTTTCCGTGCTTCCAAAGCTCTCTTATGAAGTGCAAAATGTTGGAGTGTGATTCATCTTCCTCGAAAAAAAGACTTGTCATTATTATTTTAAATGTTGAATCAAAGAACTTTTATTTGGTAAGCGTGAAAGATCAACAGTAATTGCAGTAGCATCATACTTTCCTTTTAATTTAACTATTGTATAAATCCAAATAAACTGGCATTGCGTCTCTCACTAATTCTTTGGACCTAAAAAAATTGAGTTGTGTTGGTTCAACTCTCCAGTAATGAAAGCAAATGCTCATTCCGAAGTTAACAAATTCGCATTTCGACTGCTTAGTTTTTATAGGACAATGTTTACTGGATTCAGATCAGTTGTCAGAGTTTCAAAATCTACATTAGCCAAAATTTGGTAGTCTTTAATGTAAACTAATGCTTTCAAAATCGCTGATTTTATTTCTAAAAATCTGTCAGGCTTTTCCAACAAACTATTCCAACGTGTTTTGGTGTCTAAACAAACTATATTTGATAGCCAGATTTTTAACTGCCAGACTGCTTTAACACATTTGTAAAATACCATTCTTGAGAGGTGAGTTTCTGAATAATTTTACAATACCTCTTATCTTTTTTATAACTTTATTTACATTAGTCTTGGAGATTTTTTACTGCATAAGCTGTATGAAATATAGCATCTGTTGCTATATCGCCTTCAAATTCTAAATCTAACGGTTTGTATAAATCTTCAATTAGCTCCTCACACTTATCAGTATCTTCTCCTTCAAGGGCTAAATTTTGTATCTCAACAGTGCATACTCCTGAATCCACTCATCCACTCTTTTGTTACAAGAACATCACACGCTCACAGGTGTATGGCATGTGCATAGCTGTGGTAATACTCACAACTCATTATTTTTCAAAACTTAAACATCATACTAGGAACATCAGTAATAGACATAAATATATGTTTTTCACTTGCAATTCCGAATGCATTTAGTTTAGCCTCTACTGCTTTAACACAATTTTCTGCTGAAAACTATCTGCTAATTTTTAACAATCTAGAATTTTATCTTCATTGCAATGAACAAATATCATATGTTTTTATGCGATGTGTACTCATCAAGCGTTAAGCTACAACGTATTCCTGCGTTTAACTGTGATGAAATTTCATTTGTGACCTTTGCTTTAATCAAATAATAATTGTTTACAAAGAAGCTTTATACATCACTGAGTTTTTAAGACATCTACTCATTTAAGTTTACAAGGTGTGACAACAACAACAACAAACAAAAAAAAAAAAAAAAAAAAAGACTGGTCCAATAAATCATTGTATATACAGATTCAGTTTTCTTTGATATTATCACCTTTAAAGTAGTTCCCTTCAGCATTCACACACTTCTGCATTCGGTGCTGCCATATTACTGGTAACAGTTCTGAAACGAGGTTTTTATAGAAGGCCCTTCAGGAGATTCTCTGTTTTTAACTGTACATCTTCAGCTGAAGTAAATGGGTTCCTTTTAAGTAAGATTTAACTTTAGGCAATAAACAAATGCATGGAGCCAAATCAGGTGAATAAGGAGGATGCCCCACCACAGTAATGTTTTTGCTGGTCAAAAACTGCTTAACAGATAAGGCCGTGTGCGCGGGTGCATCGTCCTGGTGCAACAGCCATCCATCACTTCACAACTGCAGCCTTTTCACGAAATATTCTTAGTACTTCAATGTGGTAGTATTGTTTAACAGTCTGACCACTGGGAACCCATTCAATCATAGTGAACGTGCTAGACGCCCAAGGGGACGCCCAGCACGTTCATCATCTTCTACACTGTCTCTTCCCTCTGTAAACCGTTTATGCCATTAAAACACTCGTGCATGAGACAAGGTTTCATCTCCATAAGCCTCGGTTAACATTTGAAATGTTTCCTCCGTGGCTGATTCTTTAAGTTTCACAAGAAACTTGATGTTGATTCGCTGTTCGTTTTTTACATTAGACATTTTTTCCGGCACAATGCAGTTGCACGTGTTCATTCAATGACGCAGTACTCCTGGCGTGGTCGGTTAAGTCTAAACTGGCCGCATGGATAGAGGAGGTGTGTGGCATGACGTCACCAAAACAGTTGTTGCCAACTCCTCTGTTTCCAAGCTGCACACATAGTTTCGTTTACGATTTTCCCGAAACTCGTGTACCCGGGATAGAAATCCTAGTTATTACCATTTTAGTAAATGATTATTAAAGAAATAAAATATGCTGTAGTAAATGTTTCGTAGAATTTTTATTTAAAAATAATTGTTGAATTTCCCAAAATTAAATATTTCTTTTCAATTCTTAATGCAATCATATCGTAAAAATTTGCAAAGTTATGAAATGATCCGCGTCATTTTTGTTTTACGTGTGGCTAGAGAAATAGAAGGAAAAATTTAACAAAAATAATTTACACATTGTTTAAGTAAATTTTGGACCTCCTGATGAAGGAAATAGGGCATTTTAAAGAAAATATGCTGGCTGCTATTTTATAGAGAGACGCAGAAGTTTATTGATACTTCGACAATTATCGTAAATAGTTTTAGAACATAGATCAAAATATTGCTGAACGACAACAGAAATTGTCCAATTTTTTCCTGCATATATTAATAAATATTTATATTTTTATTTATAAAAGTGAAAGAAAATTGAGTGATTAATGTACAATGAACATAAAAATTATCAAGCTTTAGTACTTCATTAGTATTCTAACATTAGTATTCTAAGTAACTCTCTTAATGTGAGTGATCTTAATGAAAATTTCCAAACTGTGTTCTTAGTAAAACGTTTCCATCTGAATCATATGCAATTTACTAGAAAGCAGAGTAAAAAATGCAGTTTAACAAAGAATTTTTACATTCTTTTAGGAAAATGAAAGCAAAATAAAATTCATAATATTGTACAGAAAATGAACGAAGTAAACAAATTATACGTATTTGTAAACGGAAAATAAATGAAGAGTTGTATAAAAGATCCTGATAGTATTCTGTAATGACATTTTCTTTCATATGAAGTTTCGTTCAAAATTTTCAGAAAAACTGAAAAGTACTTCCTTAGATACTCATTCAGAAGTCAAACAACAAAAACCAGCGTTATATTTTCAAATTTTCACAGTAGTTCAAAATTTTATTGGACAATTTTTACTGTAGAAAAACATATTTTTACTGTGAATAAACAGAAGAAATTTATCTTAGGAATTTTCAGACCATTTTATCCATGAGCTGACAAATGGCACCATTTTAAAATCTGTGAAGAAATTTTTGCCATCAGAAGGGCTGTTATTTCAGTTACAAAACAGCAAATATTACAATAAAATCAGGAGAAAACCATTTAACCTGGTGCTGTGCTGTAACAAACATCGAACAGCAACAGAAACTGTCCTTAGATGTCTAAAAGCTAGTATTCAAATAACTTTGAACGCAATGATTCTTTTGTCCCGCGCCTTACCTGCTGTATCATGTAGAAGGAGAACCATTGTAATAATTTAATATATTTTTTACTGTAGTGTAGAGACATTGTAGATATTGTAGTGCAGAGAAAACATGCACAGGACTGTTATCTTAAATTTCCAACAAATCACATGAAGCTAATTTTTATCAAGATATTAAGTCCAAGAAGTTAACATTATAAATTTCTGTTTCGCGCGAAAGAACTACAATTTCGTTAAAATAACAGAGCTTATAACATAGCCTATTTTATAAAATTCTTACAATTAACAAAGCAGAGTTTCATAATAGATATTTGGCCCCATTTAATTGAAAGGGAATGTTATTAGAAAACTTATGATAAATATCATTTTGAATTTTTACCTGCTTCGCACACCCAAAATGGCTCTTACAGCATAAACCCTGGTTTTTTCTTTTCCTAAAGGAAAAGAAAATAGTTACAAAATGCAAGAAATGTTAAAGGAAAATATTAAGAAATGAAACGGTTTCCGATTTATTATGCATAATTATTGTGCCATGCAATATTATAAAATTTCACATGATTTTATAATTTGGCATAAATCTCTAGCAATTCTTAATATAAAATGTATGTTTAAGTAATGATAAAAATTTAGTTTCATACTTATGTACATAATTATGTATTATTAAATATAGTTAATAATATCAGCAAAAATGCAAGACATGATTTTTTTCCTTAACATGCCCCACCTGAAAATCATCTACTCACATTTTTGCTCCTCCGTCTACTCTTCAAGCAGTAAAAGATAAATTTACTGCTTGTTCTTTAACTTCTATGCTTAAACATATTTGATTAGTTTATTTCAATGTATATAGTATTGAGAGTTTCTTATCATTTTTCTCAAAGAATAAATTTGCGATATCAAGCTCATATATGCGAGACCTTCTTATAAATCAGCTTTCTCATTTTCTCGTAAAACAACTTTAAGAGCTGTAGATCACCTTATACGTATAAGGGGATTAAAAAGTATCTGGCAGAAATGTAAAGGTAGACGGAACCGAAGCGGATTTAGAAAGTGTGCAGAAAATGGCGTGCAGAAGTGATACAGGCCGCTGTTTAGCGCTAGATAAAAGCAATCCGCTGGCTTAAATCTTTATTTTCCCAATGCATATTCACAGGAATGCTTTTACCATATGAAGCGGAAGTATGTACCAGCGGAATACTTTTATCTACTGCTCAACAGCGGCCTGTACCATGCATACTCACGCGAAGAAACACGGGGCTCTTTAGCATGCATTTCATCTATAGGGCTGCTGTTTAAATGGAGAAGCTATTTGATGTGGAACGTTTCCTAAGCATCGCCTTTGAAGACTGCACTAATTCTGCTTATAGCCTTATAGACAAAATACATGTCGGCGAGAGCCCACCGGTGGCCGAGCGGTAAAGTCGCTGAACACTGGTAGTTCGGTCCGAGGTTCGAATCCCGCGAACGGGCTGGCTGCATGGGCGTTTTCGTGGTTTTCCCCGTGTGTAACGTGTATACGAGCCAGTTTCCCTAAGTCCTCCACGAAGGCATCCTTCCTCTTAGGCAGATAGCCCTCGAGGCTTTGCCATAATTACACACACACATGTCGGCGAGTTTCACATTCATCTAAAGACGCATACCTTTCAAAATGTGCACAGTGAATGACGATTTACTCCAGTAGAACGTTATTACCTAACTCTCGTGCTTCAACGTGCCACTTCAACGTGCCATTTCTGCACACACGTTCTATTACAAAATTTGCTTACTTCGGTTCCATCCACCTTTCATTATATTTTTGTTACGTATTTTTGAATCACACTGCATGATTGGCATGCCATCTTATATTCAGGACATTAAGTTAATAATTTCTTAAAAATGCGAAGTCTTATTCCTAATTTAAAATTTGCCATACATATTTATAGTTCACTCACCTTGGCCGACGTTAAAGATGACGTCGCAGAGATGTCTGTTGTTTTGAAAAGCTCTCCCGAAATCTCGAGCTAGCTGTTCAAAACCTTCGAATGTGTCTCGGACGCTATCTAATAACGGGCTAGAGGGACGCATGTGCCCAATTGGACGCCATGATCCCCGTCTGAAAATTAAAAAAATAAGTATTTCGTATGAGAACACTTGAAGTATACAATAATAATTATAAAATTAATTCCATTCACTTCAAGGTATAGTTTTTGAAACACGTAACGTAATGAATAAAAAGTAAATAATTAAATAAATATATGAATTATAAGGAAAAGGCAATGAAATGTTATGAATCCCAGCAAAAAGTTTTCAATATAATAATAAGCAAAAGTAACATTAATTTATTTATAGATTGCAGTAAGATGCTTTATTATACACAAAAATAGAGGTATTATTAATAAAGAAAAATAAAAATATCTTCGGTAATCAACACAAATTTAATATGTATATTTGATTTCGTTATTTGTTTAATATTTTATATTTCATTTTTGTTTATTATTTTAGGTTTTCAAAATTTAACTATGTCTTACTTTTGTAATGTAAAATTTTACATCAGTTCTTTTTTTTTTTTTTTTCGATTCATTTAAATTACAGAAACATCGAAGAATTTGGGAAGTTTATCTATTTATTTTTAACTAATAGTTAATTTTAAGTTGCAAGCCTTTACTATAACTCTCCTTTCACCCATGCTTTTCAATGCTAGAGTGTAAATGAGATAGCGAGCGTTTATTCAGATTTAGGAGAGAAAGAAGTGCTATTTATGCGAAGGTTACGCAAGTTATTTTTAGAGCTTGTCTACCTATTCCAGGCGACGTTATGCCGTAATTATTAGCTATTCGAATCTCAGCCGTTGAGTGCTTCTAGCCATTTAGCTTGTCTCGCCAGTTTTTTCTACAAACCAGAGCCTTTCCTGTTCGTTAAATTATTCTGTGAGCCGTTACGCTAATCTACCACATTTAATTTAGTTCAATATTAGGTACTATCTCTGTTAAGCCAGAAGTGCTTGCCTTGTGTAAACCCAAATTGGGTAACTGTTAACATTTTGATAGAATAAAAAAGCTATTTACACCCTTCTTCTGACTCTGTATGTCTGCAGTTTAAGACAAGAGGATTATTCATCTGCAGTCTTTCTAGAGTGTTTTATTTTAGATTGCCAAAGAAGGTGAGACTCTGTAAATTTAAATACAGTATGCAATCTAGAGTTTGAAATCTAGAGTTTTTACTTCAAGAACTTATAAAACTTGTATACTCCACATCACAGAAGAAAAATTCATGCTATAAAGTACTTCTCCTCAGCAATTGCCTGAGACAACATTTCAAGCATTTCATACCAGTCTTATTCGTTAACTATGTAAATATAAGAGAATCAGTCTTTATGATTTGGGGCTTTTAAAATGAAATTACACCAAACAATTTCAACTAGTGTACCAAAAGCTTTGGCTAAATTGTAACAAGCCCATTGCAGTTACATAAAAAATGATTTCCTGTTTATCACTTGTATTTCACATAGGTCATTTGGCAGAGGAGTCAGATTCTTAGGGAATAAGATATACAGAGATCAGACTATAAACTGATGGCTTAGTGTCATTTCATATTTAAATTTGATAAATAATAATCATCCGTTTCCCTGTGTGTGATAAATAGAATATTTTCATCTGTTATAAGGTATTTCTCCCGCCTTCTTAGCATGCCTTCGTGGTGTAGTGGTCTGCACGCTGGGCACGTATAATATCAGGTGACAGTTGACAGCATGGCCGGACACCCTGACGGACACCATCTGGAGCATAACATGTTTACAACATAAAATACCTAGCGTTGTATTACCTACACGACAGGTGGACATTGCATGGTGACATAACATAGCTCAGCATAGACATGACATAGCATAGCATTTCGACGTGACATAGTATAGAATATAGTCATTGCATAGCGACATAACATATTTACAACATTAAATACACAACATAATGTAACTTACACGACAGGGCGCGTATATCAAAGGTCCATGGTTCAATTTCCGGCGAAGGCGTTGCTCATTTTTCATCTATCCTGCTTCCAAAAATTACCTAATGACTTTAGAGTGGCGCCCGAGCTAAAAAGGGTGGTGGATGATAATTCTCCACACCCAGGATTTGGCAATTGGGTCCCCTAAAACCCCAGCCGCCCTTTAAAAGGGGGGAGTATGTAAGGTATTTCTCCAGCCTTCTTAGCGTGCCTTCGTAGTGTAGTGGCCTGCACGCTTGGTGCATATTCCAGAGGTCCGTGGTTCGATTTCCGGCGAAGGCTTTGCTGATTTTTCAAGTCTCTTGCTTTCAAAAAGTACTTAATGTCTTTGCACTATATTCATGTATAAAATAAAGGTATTATTATTATTGTACTGTAAAAAAGGCGGCTTCAGGGTTTATTTCTTCAAATACTAATTATGGACATTAACGTTCAGGTTGCAAATTTTCCCAGAATAAGACAGGGAATTTCATAAAATATGCTTCAGTATTGTGGTTCCGCATATATAGAATCTAACTTTGCTACGTCTTTAGTTCACCTAAAGTTTCAGTTAATGAAAGACAAAGTTGTTTGGGATGTCAGAACGTTGAATAGCCGCATGTTATTCTATATTCAACTGGTGGAAATTTGGCTTCTTGCAAAGACGAAATTCTGGAACACATTTTTAGAAGTGCACTCGTTCTCGTAATATTAGTTTATGGAAAACAACATACATTTGCACAGACATGCTCTCATCGCAATTTTCATGGAATGTGAAGACATATTGCTATGAAAATAAGATACGATCTCTATACTATTTAAATTTTGCATAACCTGTTAATGCATGAGGATTGCAGTCTGTAAGAAGTAAAAATCGCAATTTTCATTGAATGTGAAGACATATTGCACTGAAAATAAGATACGATCTCTATACTATTTAAATTTTGCATAACCTGTTAATGCATGAGGATTGCAGTCTGTAAGAAGTAAACCGCTTCCAATATATTTACAAAACTCTTATAACATCTAATACAGCACGCAGGTTTAGTGAAATAAAGACTTTTTAATTATAAGCTTGTGAATGGGAAGACGACATGATCTACTTAATGATTATGATTACTTAATGGTTATAATTACTTACTTACTGCTTAATTATTATAATTAAAGTTTCGATTTCAAAATGCTCTAAAATATTCAAGTCTAATTTCAATCCATTCTGACCTGTGGTTCTTATTTTACACCAGTTTGAAATCGGAATTTTAATTACATATATCATCAAAAATGATAATATTCAGTCATACCTCTATATCATCAAAAATGATAATATTTCAGTTTACTGAATAAAATTTGTTGCAGTTTAGGCAAGCAAACATGTGCGTTGGTAATTATTTAGTTTCATTTTTAAGCACAATGAAATAGAATTTTTTTTTTTGATTTTGAAATTAATAACAATATAACATTCAAATCCATAGAATCGGGATATAATTTAGGTAAGAAAAGAATAAAATGCGAGTTTTATAGAGTAACTCCTCATTTACAAGATCTTCTTGTGGAAATTATTTTCTTAAACAGAGAATTAATTAATACTGGAACTCTTATGTCAAACTCTGCTTTAATTTTACATAAGGTGTACCTTATTTTTTAAATCTAGTCAAATCTTTTTTCGCCTGAAGTTTAGATAGCAAAAACATTAACATCTTTTATATAGATCACTATGGGAGGCGAGGTATTGAAATTGGATAGACAAGCTAATTATTTACTTTAATATGATGCGTGTACATTTGGAAGATAGCTTTAATGCAGTCCTTGGAAGTTAGTACAAAACGGATCATTAGCGACTGCACTGTTCTGTAAAGTTCCGTTCTAAAAATTGAAATGGAGTAGAAGTACTAATACCCTCCTTTATGTTCAGTCAAAAATCTGATATGGACAGCACATGACTTCCTTGTACGGCCTATTAAATATTCACATATTTTACTGCACTTCATTTAAACATATATCCTCGAATTATACTGACTTAATTAACCACTTCTTCAAGGCAAGCTGAAAATGTCATAAAAAATTGAAAATTTGGAAATTAAATATTCCAATCAATTTTTGTCATACGGAATCACATTTCTTATAATTTTATTTTTTGATAATGAGTATAAAACTTTTACAAATATAAGTGTAGAACCGGGATATTGCATTAAAAGTTAGACTTCCTTATTTGTAGAAATGAATTAATTTTTCCAGTCCATAGAATGTTCATGTTTTTGCAATGTCAAGGACATTACAAAAACATGAACATTTTCTTCATTTAAAACATTTCAGTAATTAAAAGTACAACCTATTGTAATAAAAAAGTAGGTGCACAATTAGATGTTATATAGTCCCAAATACAAAATTTTATCGTTCTACGGCTAGTCGTTGCGAGATATATTCATACATACATAATAACATACATACTAGTCGTACGTACAGACATACCGAAAAAGTCTCTTTTGAATCCATTTTAAATCCATTTTTCAATCAATTTCGGAAATACGAGTCCTTTATTCTGCCCATACATACAGAGCACAAGAATTGGACCCCCGTCCTGGGTACCGCTTAGGGTCCGTCTCTTGGGGAGAGCGTGTTGAAGCACCTGAGCCCCCTTCCACGGCGGCACAGACCCCACGGTCCCTGCTCGGCTTTATTGGGCAAAGTAGAAAAAACTCTTCTAAATTACTAAATACAAGATATGATACGATGACATCTTTGCCTCCGGGCACCACTCCATCGGCAATGATTAAGTTCGTCTTAGTGCCTTGTCCGCTCTGTCAATCCCCGTCACTGGAACTGAGGGGGGCCAAACCTTCGAGGACTAGGTCGGTGATCTCCGATCCAGTTCCACAACAGCCAAAGGAATGGACACGACAGTACCAGTACGGCCCATGTCCATACGAACAGAAGTCATGAAAAAGAATCATTCAGAAGGCTTCGGGAACAGTCAAAATGGGTATTTCCTTTGAAATATGATACCCGAAATTTTTCGCGATTACAATATTTCCTTCATTCGTACAAAGAAGTATATATAATGAAATTCAACGCAACAATTAGCACCAAAAGCCAAACATTTTCTCGCAGTTTTATTGAAGCTTAGCCAACCATAATCACTGCTCTGTTCTTACAGTGGTGAACGCGGTAGAAATGCAGGCTAATCTTTGGAATATGGTAACAGGTAGTTTGGCGAGATTTTGATAAGGCGATAAAGGTTACTAGCTAGGACTTTAGCAGTGTACATGGATAAAGTCAAGAGTGTGCGCAATGCCATTTTTGTGCAATTCTGGGGATGATTTTTTTTAAGTGAAAACTAGGTCGACGTGTACATGGATATACTGAGTATATGTGCAATTCTTAAAAACATGCGGCCAAGCAGTGGGCGATTCTGCACTTTCTCCCAATTTCGTACCTAATCTTCGTCATGATTAAGCACTTTTGTTCCATAAAAGTTCTAGCATAAGCATAATTCGGCTAGCAGATTGTTGGAAAAAAATGTTAAGTCTAAAAAAAAAAAAAAAAATGCCTTTACTTCGTGAAAACAAAATGGCGTCCAAAAGAAAAAAACTAACAGTTTGCTGTAGCAGGGTTGGTCGCCAAAAAATCTCCAAGTTACCATAATCCAAAGATTAACCGAAATGCAGTGCATGGGAGTGAAGAATTTACGGTCTAAGATCTGGGGGGGGTTGTAGGGGGTAACGAACAGGTTTCTTCCCGTCTCTGGATAGAAATGGAGTAAACGTTGAGCCATTAACAATACTTTAATCCTTTGCTGGAAAATAAATAGGGTCTAATCAATGCTCTAAAATGAGGAATGAAACTGCAAAATCCCTTCTTAATGAGTCTGTAGCCTGTTTTTATTGACATGGCCATATTCTTCTACTGAGAAGTTAAATTGTTTAGGGTTTTCACCAATTCTTCATATGTATTCAGTTCCTACGTGTAATATTTCCGCAGAAGACTTGGTTTCGTTAACTTAATTTATTATGTCTAACACACTGTTAGTTATAATCTTGTGTAAGGTACGAGAAAATATATAAATAAAAAAGTAAACGAAATAAATAGCTTGGCATATTTATCTCCATTCATGTAGAAGTTTCTCTACACATACAGAAACGTCGTTAATCCTTAAATTTTGGACAAGCATGTAGTAAGTGATGCATTCCTATTTTCTTTCAAAATAGCTGTAGTAAGTCCTTATCAAAAATTCACGAGATATTAATACTTCATTAATAAAATCTAGCTGTATAAAAACATTCATAATGCTATCACTGTAAAATAAATTTCACCACTGTAAATATAATGCGAAACATATTTATTCTGCTTTTGAACCGTCAATATCGGACTATATATAATAATGCATTTTTGTTCGTTGCTCGTTATTATGAGAATGTATTTGTATCTTAGTAACTAAGTTTTTATATAAACGTTTATCACTGTTCTGTCATCTCTCAGGCGTACTGGGGTTGATAGTTGCGCAGATTTCACGACTAGTAGGATAGTGCGTTGAGAGCCTATGTGCGGAAGAGCTGCACTTCTGATAGTGCAATGTAATGTAGTACGCTGATACAGAGTTCGGAAACGTCCTTGAATAAACGCTATTAATTAACAACTATTTCACCCAAAATGATAACTGTACTGCTTATTCAACTACTGAACAGGTGTAACTTACCGAATTTAAAAATAGATCCCTCCCCTTGGAGAACATAAATTTCTAAGTGTGTACCAAATTTTGCCTCAGTTTAAGCATTCTTTTGTCACGGTGTCGCAGCATGCTGGAGAGTCAGTGAACAATTCTTCATAAAAGCCCTCATTATTATTAGCATCTTCTCTTTATTACCCATTTTTGGGTCATTGGAAGACTTTTGTACACGATGATGTAAGATTCATGATGTGTAAGATAAATTTAACTTGCAATATTGTCATTTGAGCAGTTTGAATTAAACACTTTTATTTCTTAATGCTTTAGAAACAAAATTATGTCATACATATGTAAAGCAACTTTAGATTAAAATCTATGATACAAGAGCCTATCTTTCCATCCGAGTTAAATTTTTAAATTTGAAGGAACATGAAAATTTTTTTTTCTAAAATTACCTGTATGGTTTTGGAATTTGGCCAGTTTCTACGTGGTTTTGCAGATTTGTAACTATGTCTTCAAGCATTTGGCTCCTGGTTCTGTCCTGCGGTAAAAAATTAAAATAGTTAATGCAATAAATATACCTATTCATGTTAAAGTACACTCATGTCCATAAATTAAGGATAATTCGGAGTCACGCGGAAATCGAACTCTAAAATAAATATCTCACCTGTAAAATCACTACACACATCTTCAAGAATCATATGCAAATTTCAGGAAATAACCAGATGACACCGATGGTACGTCACAATGACGAGAGTGTAAGAGAGTGATATATATATAAGGAATACAGGCAAAGAAGTAAAATTGTTCGCAGGAGCTTTATAAGCATTTCATTGCAATAACCGAATAGTTATGACGCAAAGGACGCATTTGGATGACTTTTTACGTGGTAGAATTATCGACCGTCTGGAATGTGGGCGTACCCAACTGGAAGCATCAGACAAACTTGGAATTGTCCAGAGTGTCATCTCCAGGCTTTGGCAACGATTCCAAGATGATGGTAATATGAGTAGACGTTACAGCACAAGTCGCCCCAGAGTTACAACGCCAAATGGACCGGTATTTGGCAGTTACTGCGAAAAGAAACAGGCGGAGCACAGCCTCAGACCTGTCTCGTTAGCTGTCTTCAGCCATTGGTACGACAATTTCAGGGCAGACCGTGTACAGACGCTTAGGGCAGATTGGTCTATATCCTCGTAGACCTGTCAGATGCGTTCCACTTACTGCAACTCACTGTCGCCTGTGGTTAGCCTGGAGTAGAGAGCATGTATTGTGGACACCGCAACAGTGGGCTTGTGTGAGTTTTCGACTAGTCCAGGTTTAGCTTGCAGTCTGATTCTCGCCGGACTTTCATATGGAGAGCTCAGGTACCCGTTACCACCAAGAAAAACATCATTGAACGACACCGTTACGGTGGTGCAGGAGTGCTCGTTTGGAGTGGAATTATCCTGGGTTCCAGAACCGACCTGGATGTTCATATTGGAACCATGACAAGCCAAATCTATCGGGACGTCATTCTGGAACAACATGTACGTTTGTTTTGGGGCGCCATGGGCGCACAATTTGTGTTTATGGATGACAACGTCCGTCCTCACCGTGCAAACATCGTAAGCGAATGCCTTCAATCGGAGGATATCACCCGTATGGACTGGCCAGCATTCTCACCGGACTTGAATCCAGTAGAGCACGTGTGGGACATGCTTGGCCGACGAGTTGCAGCCCGTCAACCTCCTCTTACATGTCTATCGGAACTTCAGAGAGCATTGCTTTTTGAGTGGTGTAATATCCCCTAAGATCAGATCGATAATTTGATACTCAGCATGCCTAGGCATTGTACGGACTGTATTGCATCGTCTGGGAGACATACAATGTATTAACAATGATACCAACCATGTATTATTGGTTTTTTGTAATTTGCTCCAGGGAGAAAAAATCGCTAATTTTTTTAATAATATCAAACATATAGCATCTTTTTTTGCTCTTTACCTTTTCTTTAATAAATAAGCTTTACAAATAAATCAAATTTGTTTTGCTTCTAACTCTTCCTTTGCCTGATTTTGCATTATCCTTAGTTTATGGACATGAGTGTAGTACAGACATGATGAAGTAATAAAACGTTATTTCTTTAAAATTTAAAAATTAACAGCAGAAGTAAAATTAATACTCATTTAAAGTCACGTGAAAACTTTTTTTTGTCTAAGTTAATCATTCATATAAAATTAAAATGTATTTATTTACAAATGCTTTTTTTCTAAGCTTAGTAATTTTTTCAAGTTACTTCACATGCACATATGAAAGGCGATAAATTGTAATATTTACTCATGTGATGTAGCACTGTAATCGAAAATAAATTCTGCATATTTTATTATTTTATAGTTTATTTTTTGGAATAAGTAATTTTTTAATTAGGTAATGTTGCTTTGATCTGCAACATCGATATAAGACTCTTTAGATATGATAGACGACTTCAACACGAGTTTATTTTGGGGATTATATGTTAGCAAATGTTTTTATGAGTTATAAATTTAGGTTTTGAAGCAATTGGAAAAATATAAATTCAATTTAAAATGTTGTAAATTCTGATTTTAAAGAAAACACATGCACATATTACCTGTATCTGCGATACAAATGAAGATGTAGCCATTAAGTCCTAGAAAGTAATTTTATTTCTGTTTAAAATGTAATTCTTAGATTTTAAAGCATTTTGAGAATGTCTTATTCTAGAAAGAAGTGGAACTATTTCAGCTGATTCCTAGATGAATGTTGGATCATTTAATGCATTTCTTTATACAAAAACAATCATTTGAATGCAGTAGGATTACCTCAGGACTCGTGTTTCTCTTTATTTGCGTTGGAAACATGAATGATCCTGAACAGGAGCAGGGAGCTTACTCCAGTTATGTTCAAGAAGGTATACACAAGCAGGAAGGGTATACGAAACCCTTTATTTTCAATACTTTACAGGTATTTCCGAACTTCGGAATACAGAGACCAACCACTTGTAGTTTGAACGTAAGAATATAAAAACTACTAACTAAAACGCTAACTAAAAGCTAACTTTGAATTAGTATACAAATGCCTAGCACTAAGACTGGCCTTTGTTTAAAAAAGGTACGTATGTAGTAAGCCAAGCTGCTAAAACTACGATATGTCTGCAAATATCAAGAGGGCTAAACCTCTGGCCTTAAAGGCAACCAGCAACAGAGTGAAAACTTGTAAAACTACAGTGGCAAGCGGCTTGCTTCCTAAAACTCCTTCTTTCTCTCTTGGCAAAAAGCCACAACTTTAAGTACTTGGCGTTAGCAAGACAATTTGCATTAGTAAAACTTAGGATCCTTACAGGATATTTAATATTGCCTCAAGCACAATTAATTTTGAAAATGTTGCTTTTTTCCTACATATATGGTAGATTTTAGCAGCTTAAGGTTCCACAAAAAGCATAATTTGAATAAATCAAGTACCTAAAATGATTTCTTGCTTATTGATTTGTCTGGAAGTAATAACAACTCAGCCTGAAAATGCCTTATATTATAAGTTTTAGAACTTAAAAATTAGAGCTTACTTGCATCCTTGCAAATTTCGGAGCTGAATAGCTAGCCCTTTCTCCGTTCACAATTTTTGTTAACAGCCATTCTCGAAAGAGAGATTCCTAGAAAGAAAATAAATGTATTACTTCCTTCATAAAAAAGAGTGTCAAATGTATGCAATTGGTATATATACAAGAGTTTCATTGAAAAATAGTATTTCATTACCGGTTGTTTACCTTATAATGTTTTATACTTTCCATTGCAGGTTTAACCTGCATTGCTAAATGCTCAGTGTGATGTATATAAATCTTCTGGTAAACAGTAAGCCGATGAGAATGACCACTTAGTTAGAGACCGCAATATATTTAAGCGTCCCTGATTATATTAATACAAAAACAATTTAGAGAAAAAAGGAAGTCGGTTACAAACAGAGTGTAAGACCTTTGCATATTTGGTCTATAGCAAAAAGGGGATATTTGAATTCGACTGAAAATTTATGGAATCATAAATTTTATCCCGTAAGAAAATCAGAAACGAGAAAACATTTCTTTTTTACAATATCAGATTTATGTTAAAATCTATACATGTGGAAATATACTAAAACTGCAGTTGATTGCTCCGTAAATGGGAAAATGTGATGTACGAAGAAAATACGACCAATCTTATGGTCGATAGAAAAAGAAGGATGCTTGTGCTACAGTATCAGAATTATGTTAAAATCTATACATGTGGAAATATACTAAAATTACAGTTGATTGCTCCGTAAATGGGAAAATTTGATGCATGAAGGAAATACGACCAATCTTATGGTCGATAGAAAAAGAAGGATGCTTGTGCTTGTTTAATCAAAGTAATCTCCAGTGACATCAGTTGATTGTTGTCAACGTTTGGAAATGTCATTTATGCTTTGTTTTTAACAATTAGTATCTTTAGAAGTGATGATCTTTTCCAACGTTGGGTAAATTGAAGAATCGTTGGCAAGACATTTCTTAGATAAAAAAAGGGCTTTAGTGGTGCAAAAATGGCAGTTTCTTTTAAAATTGTGAGGAGAAAATTAAAAATGAGGCACAGTTTTGTATCCAAACTTTTGATTTACTGTATAGCTGACAATGACCTATGTGATAGGCATTAGCCTGAAGTATTAGGGTTCTGTGTCTATTCACAAACGTTCATTGATTAAGGATCAGATTCTCATGCATTTGCGGGTTATCTGTATAATATCGAGCTGCATTTATCATTTCGCATCGTCGAAGGTGTGAGTAGTGAATAACACCTACAGGAGGCCACTCCTAGAGGAAGAAAATCTTTTTTGCAAGCTGTCTTTGGAGTACTTTTTGGAGAGTTTTTCGCTTGCAGTTACAGCGACAAATGCATACAATTGTAATAACATTGTATCCACATTTCATCCACAGTCACAATTCTTGCAGTAACCGTTCTTCTTTACTTATTTTAAAGAAGAAAAAAAAACATACTTACTAACTCCGGGTTTTATTTTCATATTGAGTTTTAGTGCTGAATTTAGTATTTTAGCCCAAACAAGACTAATAGCTCAGAGGGCCTATTAGTCTCGAAATGGATTTTGCGTTGAATCATTGTAGAAGCCTGAATCACTTTCCATATTGTTGCCACCAAATATTATCGCCCTTTGTTATTTTGAAAGCAACTAAATAAAGGAGAATGTGCATGAACGTAGGTATGTTTTTCGCATTGTGAAAAAACGGCGGTACCTGGAGCCATCAAATTTTGAATGACGTAATCATTCTCCCGAACATGGGCAACTAAAAGCCCTAATTTTGAATTTCGAATTTGTTTTATTACCTATTTCACATTTTGTAAAACCTTTAACGAATTTGTGATTAACAAACTCAACGATTCCGAATAGAGCAATGGCAATACTAGACAGAAAAAATAATTTTTATTTCCAGCGCGTGAGACTATCTATCGGAAATTCTAAAGGTATGCTGTTTTTAAATATTTTGTGATATTGCTCTTGAATTTAAGTTTATGTGGTTTAAATGTGAAGAACATAATATTTAATGAATAAAGGTAACACACAAAACGTTAAAAAAAACGCCCCTTTGAGCGTAATGTAAGATCTCAAAGCTTTCAGTTTTTTTTTTATGATTTTTCAAATTCATTATTCAGTTCTGAGGAATTCACTTGTTTACTTGCTTTTCCACTCTTAGCCAAATGCCTCGAAACAACTGAAAAGTTATAAGATATTTCTCTCACCTTCTTGGCGTGCATTCGTGGGGTAGTGGTTCTGCACACTGGGCCGGTATTTCAGAGGTCCTTGGTTCGATTCCCAGCGAAGGTGTTGTTAATTTTTCATCTCTCCGGCTTCCAAAAATTACCATGTCTCTACAGTGGCGCCCGAACTAAAAGGGTTGTGGATGATGATGACTCTCCACACCCAAGATTTGACGATTGGGTCCCCTAAAAACCCCAGTCGCCCTTTAAAAGGGGGAGTATATAAGGTATTTCTCCCCACCTTCTTGGCGTGCCTTCGTCGTGTAGTGGTTCTGCACGCTGAGCCGGTATTCCAGAGATCCGTGGTTGGATTCCCGGCGAAAGCGTTGTTAACTTTTCATCTCTCCGGCTTCCAAAAATTACCTAATGTCTCTACAAAGTGCCTCATTTGAAACAACTGGAAAAGGTCGATAAAACAGCTAAAGGCAAAAGAATTGAAAAGTGCCGTGAGACAACTGAAAAGTCTATGCGATTTCTCATACATTGTGTTATGGATTTAATCCAATTAAATCCTTTCATTCATTTAACGAGAGAGAACAATGGTCATCGAGTTTATTTTGCAGTCTGAAATCCCCGAGAGAACTTTCGCAAGGCGTGTGGATCTGCTATTAAATGTTCTTTCATTGAACGTTTTGTTGAAGACTTTTATTGAAACCGAGAGAGAATTTCCCAGTTTGAAATTGTAAAGATATAGCAACTTAAATAATTGGATTTCATGGTTGACTTGATGCTCACAGCATTAAGTGTGTAATGCTAAAAGTTGTCACATGGTATAAAATATTTGCATAAACCTCAGCGCAAAACCGCAACTGTTAGAAACTAGACGTGATTCAATGGCCATTTCTTTTACAACATCCTACACATATGAAGTTAAAATACCAAACATAAAAATGACGGGTGACAAGCTGCGTAAAATCTTATTATTCCGCTAATATTTAAACTTTTTCATTTTGGTCGCATACTTTCTAAATTTAATTAAGTATCAGAAATATAAAAATGAGAGCCTGAAAATAGAAACAATCAAGAAGTGCTAAGCAAATCAAAAGAATGCTATTTGCTTAGTTTATTATCTTTTTGTTAAGCATCTTAACATGCACAAAACATAAAGCATCTCACAAAAGCGATCGGATACTTTTATTTCCGAAAACAATGAGAAAAAAATTAAAACTGATATTGCAAAACATGGATCTCTATGAAATATGCAATTGCCTAATCTTCCTTTAAACTAAGTTATACTATTTAACAAAAAAAAAAAAAAAAAAAAAAAAAAAAAAAATTTTTTTGAGCTTAAAAATGAATATGTTCTTTTTAGAGCAGAATAATTCCGTTTACGAAAGAAGGTTTCGAACACTACTGATACTGCAAACGAAATTGCTAGGAATCAACACAATGCGTAAATTTATGAAATTATTTTGCACGGAAGCAACAAGCAACATTTAAAATTCTTTTATCTGAGCTCTTCAACGAAAGGAATTTTCGGTATTTCAATATTTTATTATCATGGCTAATTCAAGAAAGCGAATATGGTTAAATTCGAAAATAAACTTTTAATTTGCAATTAGAAAACGTGAAATATCGTAAAAAAGTGATGAAATGATTAAATTTAAGAATTTTGGGTACTTTTCCGTTTCGCCGGCGCAAATATTGCCAAGCAGACTTTATTGGCGACAACACACAGTATATACATAAAAAATGTTAACGAATGTTAATTGTAAGAATTTTTTATTTTGAAGGCATAAACATTTTAAAATCGTTTAAAATTTTGTAAAAATCCAATAAATTTGTAAAACGACATTAGCTTAAGAATTTATTATGCTTTCATGATTCATGACCGGCTGATTCGCCGGTTCATATCACGTAAACTACGCTACAAAAATCTAATTATCTCAGTAATTATCTACATTAATTCCAAGTTAAATCTTAAATTGGAGTGCAAGTTTAGATGCAAGAATTATTTCAATTCGTAAGAATAGCTTATTCAGAAATTATGTAAAACCGCAGTGCTTTACTTTGCTAGTGTATTCTCATTAGAATTGATGAACTTAATCCTTGACTATGCCTTTTCTATATTTTCGCTTTCCGGTGAGCGGTGTGATTGCATTCTAATTGACTTAATTACCGCGAATGACCTTAGGGCATAAAACTGTACTATCTGGTAAAAATTCTATGTAATTGTATGCCAGTATTGAAAGAACCAATCAATCTGATAAGAAATGGCTGCGACTTGTTTTCAAAATGAGGCATAAAAGGTTACCAGCGAGGATATTCTTTTTGGCATCAGTTGTACCATTATTGGCGGCTTTATCGCCTGCGCCGGCAAAATGGAAAAGTACCCAATTTTGACGTAATAAACCATTATTTAAAACATCATGGAGCTGGGAATGAGAAGACTTGGAAGACCTTAAAAAATAACAAATTTTAATAATTTTGCAAAGTTCCTCATTATTGATCAGGTTTTGAAAAATTATTCCAATGCGCTCACTATAATGATCGGTTGGCAAGGCTACGTTACATCGGTTTACTACGCCACAGTAAGAATAGAAGACTGTAAAAATCTTTCTAGCTTCTTAGATGAAATAAAATTCCAAATAACTAAATAAGGTAACTTTTTTTTTTTTTTGACGAAAGCTAATTTAAAATATTTCGTTATTATGGCTAGTTTTTAGTATGAGAAAGAGCTAAGGAAGAATTTCAATCCTAAGAGCAAAACATCGGAGAATAGGAGTTGTAGTAAGTATATGTCTGTGTCGTTGAAACCATATTCTTCAGTTTATAAATAGAGTAATAGATCACTGAGAATATATTGCATTTTAAAATCAAATTTCTAATCGTAAATACAATTCTATAACTTCCAAAATAGTTCTAAATTCTAAAATCCTATGCATATTGCTATGAATGTGCGACTTGGTCTTTGTCTTATTATTCTGAATTACTAAAGGCACTCGTTCAGTGTCCAATCTTATCCCGTTGAAGAAAATTACCAAGGAGTAGAAATAAAACTTAGAAATAAAATATTCCTCTAAAACTATAATTGAGATTAACAGTACAAAACATTGGAGCAAAGATTAGGCCAGAAATGACAAAATGATATAGTTGAATCCGTGCTAAAATGATAAACCACGTAGACTAGAAGAGAAACACGCTAATGTGACAATCAAAATCGTAACAACAACCTTGTATTTAGCGTAGGTATAATGAAACACTCAATCGATTTCGAGGGCAGCTAAAGGTCTCTCCTCATCAGGAGAAAGAAATACCTAGAAAGAAGAAAATAAAGGAGTCACAGAAACACGTGGTCCTTATCAGCACTGCACGTGTTATAACTAGATTTGAATTGAGTTGCACTGGCGCCTACTTTTACTGAGCCAGGCTATCTGATCGAGCATGAAAAATTAGCGAAGTTAAAATAGGGAGCGAGGGGCAATGCACCTTACGCTCAAAATCTGAACTTCAAATGCTTTCCATTATTTGAAGTTCAGATTTTGAGCGTAAGGTGCATTTGGTTGCTTTCCATTATTTGAAGTTCAGATTTTGAGCGTAAGGTGCATTTGCCCCTCGCTCCCTAGTTTAATTTCGCTAATTTTTCATGCTCGATCAGATAGCCTGGCTCAATAAAAGTAGGCGGCCAGTGCAACTCTGATTAAAAATCTAGTTATAACCACGTGCAGTGCTCATAAGGACCACGTATTTCTGTGACTCCTTCTCCTTTATTTTCTTCTTTCTAGGTATTTCTTTCATCTGATGAGGAGAGACCTTTAGCTGCTTTGAAATCGATTGTTTCATTATACCTACGCTAAATACAAGGTTGTTGTTACGATTTTGATTGATAAACCACGTCTAAGAGCTAGTAATAATCCAACAAAATACTATTACATGTAATTTAAGAAATACGTTTTTTGGTTTTAATTTGATAGATTCGGGGGGGGGGCTATCAATGCAATATGACTCCGATCACATTTGTGACATGAAATTCTCAAAAAGAAAGAGAAGATTTAATTTTTGGGCTCAATATTTTATTCTTGCAAATGGTATGTTGATGTTGTTGTGATTAACCTTGTTTATTTCATATAACAATAAGTCCACGAAATTTACCGTAGCAAGGAGGCAAATTGCTTCTGTCGTTGGCAAGAGCCTTGATCACAATACTGGTGCCAGTGCGACTTTGCTCATTTCCGCCCTCAATTTTGGAGGGAAGCATCCCAAAGAGACAAGTACGAGGGTCTCCCACCACTCTTTCACAGCTATCAACTTCTCGAGAGGACTTTCGACTTGCTGCATATTAAGAGTGCCTCCATGCCGCGCAGACGCTATACATTTACAAACATCCATGCCTTATTCTGGGTTCGAAACCAGACCCTGGAAAATGTATTTAGTGAAACACTTTCGTTCCACACTAAATACTGATTGAGGTAAACGCTTAATGCAAAGGTAGCCAGCATTTATTTCTTCCAAAATCAAGTTTTATATATTTAATTTAGTGCATTTAAAATATGATATAATTTTTGGAAACTAGAAATAACCCATGAGTTTTGTGAGACATTATATTCGTCGAGTAAAGCATAATATCGTTAATACTGAGATGGTTTTACAGTGTCATTTTATTTCCGTAAGTAACACATTTAATTTGTCATTTTAACTTACACATTATTCCAGACAAAATTTAGCAGAAACTGCATTGTTTAAGCCTTCGACTACAAAAAATATTAAACTCTGAACTCTTACGGGAAACAAGAGAATACATTCTGACCTTGTTTAAGAAATTTACTTCAATATTTTAATAAATGTCTTGCAGTATGCGCTGAAATATTTTTGTTGCTGTTAGAATGTTAGGTTTTGGTATATAGTATTACATTCTGAATATATATATATATATATATATATATATATATATAATATTTTTGTTGCAGTTAGGATGTTAGGTTTTGGTATATCGTATTACATTCTGAATATATATCTATTTATAATATAGTCTAAAAAGCATTACAGTGTTTCTAAATGTGAACTATTAACAATAGAACATGGATCAAAACATTATTAATTTTCTACATATATTCGAGCAAAAACATCATGAAAACTTCCTGCAGTGGCTTGCGGATTTCGAAAGAATAATTTCTGATTTATCTTTATTCAGATCAGTGAATCAGTGTTTTCGTATCTGATCTAAAGAGGTTCATTCTATCAACCAACCTAGATCAATCAGTTCATTCATTTCACCGACCTAGAAAATGAATACTTCCTGCACAGTCGTTACAAAGTGTGCTGATGTTTCCAACAGGTCGAATATTCCATACCCTTGATTTGATTAAATAAAACTAGTTATAGCTTAATCAAGATCCCGAGTTATTTGAACCCCCTTAACCTGCTGTTTGATATTATTCTTAATTGATGTATTTTAATGATATTCTCTTCTAATACGTTATTTAACCTGAACTTGAGATTAACTTTCCGTTAATCCAAAAGCATCGGCAACTTCCCTTTGCATGGTCATCATGGTTGTCATTCCTAGACTAACTTCCAGCCAGTAACTGTTCCACAAAAGTAACAACTGCATAGATTATTGTCTGCCTGCATCCTTAACAAAGCCTTTGCAAAGCTACCTGCACACTCAACAAATATTTATTGCTTTACTGACTTTGTTTCGTAAAACGTTCAAGCGGTTTTAATGAGCTTTACAATAGTGTAAAATCTCGCCGTTAGTTTTCGAACATCATGTTTATTCTAACAGCAATATCACACGACTGTTTAACATTAACCCGGGGTCTTAAATTAGACACAAGTAAATTATTTTTAAATAGTATTCCAGTTCGATAAATGTTCACATATTATTTTACTAATTTTTCTGTCAAATGTTTTGTTTATGCAGAACGTAGAAGGGTTTGTGAGAAATATATTCTACTGTTAAATATGTTTTCATAATGTTCGTGCGTAATACATAACTTTATCTCGTACTGCTTCTTAGTACTTTTAATGGCATTTCGGTAAGCGTCGGAAAATTGTGTAAAGTTTATAAATACATTTCGTAGCTGATTACACAAGAATGAGATGCAAGACAATTTGAACTTTTAATCTCTCTAGCAAATATTGTATAATTATTAAATCCTTCTATACGAGCGAAAGTTTCATTTGAGTTGAGAGTATTCACAACTCAAATTATTAATTTTTTTGTTTTCAATTATATTTTATTATAGTATACACTTTAAAATTGTCATAAAATGTTAATGTTTTATAACTTAAATAACATTTTCATATAATTACTTACTTTTATGAATCTGGATCGATGCCACAGGTAAGGTTTATAAGCTCCTACTTCATCTCTGGACACAACAGAAACCTGTAAATGCAGTTTTTTTTCCAGATAATGATGCATTATTTTCATAAGCAGACATTATTGCTCTTGAAGCACAACAACTTGTCTGAGATAAAGGTAAAATATTATTGTAATGCACTTCTTAAAATAAAATGTCTTTTTCGGAACAGAAAATATTAACATAGAATTGATTGTTTTTGAAAATTTAATAAATTATAAGAATCCAGAAGTACAACTTGCACAAGTATATGCGACGTATTTATCACTTATGATAATGAATATGTTTAATGAATATGGAAAGTTTTCAAACTTGTACATTAAAATACTGAACAAAAATTACAGAAATATGTTAGATAATTTACAGGTGCAAGTAGAATTGGGTGGGACATCAGAATTTCACTCTTGTTCGTATAGTTCAACTACACTAAATGTGTAGCACCGTCCTATTGTAAGGGATCTGAGGGTTTCCACCCCTCTTCATCTAAAACCAAACCATTCATCGAGAGGACTTTCAGCTTGCCTGTATTTTAAATGGCCGCACATTCACTATACACTAGAAAACATCCATGCGTTCTTCGGGATTTGAAACCGGGCCTACACGGTTGTCAGTTTTGCTAATCACTTTACCTAACATAACTACATAACATAACCGGTCAGTGCTACTGGGTAATTCAAATGTTTACAGAGAAACCATATGTTTTTATCTTGTGAATAGTATTAACAAAGGGTTTTAGTTAACTTATATATCATGTCATTCGGTTTTCTTCCACACATGCTCAACAAAGACATTGTTTAACAAAACAAAGATGTAATTTCCCCTTGAAATGCATAAAACAGCCTTATTTCTATAAAATCTTAAACTCCTCGCAGAAGTATATAAAGCAAGTCTTAGAAACTCCTACGATGTATTGCAAATGTGTTACTGAACTTGAAATATGGACTATAATATACTTAAACATGCAGTTATGAGGTATTTCTCCCGCCTTCCTAGAGTGCCTTCGTGGTGTAGTGGTTCTGCACGCTGGGCCAGTATTCCAGAGGTCCATGGTTCAATTCCCGTCGAATGCGTTGCTAATTTTTCATCTGTCTGCTTTCGAAAAAAAAAAAATCACCTGATGCCTCTACAGTGGCAACCGAACTAAAAGGGTCGTGGATGATGAATCTCCACCCCCAGGATTTGGCGATTGGGTCATCTAGAAATCTCAGTCACCCTTTAAAAAAAGGGGGAGTATATAAGGTATTTCTTCCGCCTTCCTAGCGTACCTTCGTGGTGTAGTGGTTCTGCACGCTGGGCCGGTATTCAAGAGGTCCATGGCTCGATTCCCGGCGAAGGCATTGCTAATTTTTCCTCCCTCTGGCTGAGACATCAGGTGAAAAAAATCACCTGATGTCTCTACACAGTGATAAAACAGTGACATACAGAATTTCGTTAATGAATGGAAAATAGTCGTTTCATTTTTGCTATAAATATTAGTGGAAATAAGCTAAATGTTTGAATAAGTTTCTTTTTTACATAAACGTACGAACGCACAATTTTTACATTCACATATATTTTATATAAACATCTTTTATTTCGTACTATATTAATTACTAAAAGCATTTAACAGTTATCAAAATTTACTGTTCCAGGGGCTGCGTTTTATAGCTATCCTGAATATTCACAAACTAACAGATCTATGCATATGTCACTGTTAGCTTACCATGAATTGCGGAAGATTCTTTCAAATATGTCCGCGCCATTCTCAAGTATAGGGTTAGTTCATAAGTTCGTGCGTATTAAGAGTATGCGTGGAATTCACTATGCCGCATTTACTAAAACAGTACAATTTTGAACCTGTTGAAACTTGTCATCGTTGGCTAACATGTTATTTAGTTGATCACCAACTTTCGTAAATATCGAACGCATTTTAGTACCCATAAAAGATGAATATACATAATCAGTACAAACGTGCTGTGCTACGTTTTTTATTTTCGGTGCGGTGAATTTGCCAGGTTTGCAGCGGTAAAAATTAATAGTGTAAATGGTGAACACACTATTAGTGTAAGGACTGCCAAGAAATGGTTTAAAAATTTAAAGTTGGAAAAATCAGCATTAATGATGAACCCCATTTCAGGACGGTTTGAACTGTTATAATCAAATCAAACGATTCATTCAGAAGTTTATAGTGAACAACTTTGCCGTCTAAACTCAGAATTGATCAAAAACGCCCACGATGGGTGAATATCAAGATAGGTTGTTTCACATGATAACGCTAGACCGCATACGCTCGAACAAGCTGCAAAAATGTGAATTTAATTGGCAGCTTTTGACACACCTGCGTACTCCCAGATATTGCCCCAAGTGATTTTACTTATCGTTGCCTTACAAAAGTTTTACTGGGAAAAATTAAATTCTAAACAGGATGCACACAATGAACTTTCAAGTTGTTTTGCATTAAAACCAGAGTTTTTCTACAGCAATGGCATAAAAAAGCTGCTTGTAAGATGGCGAGATATTGTAGATAATGGAGGAAAATATATAATTGATAAAAATATTAAATTGTGTTTTTTTATATTATTTAAAAATTTACCAAAAAATGCGGACTCATTTATGGACTGACCCAATACATCCATTGGCTGATTACTATTCGTGGAAAGTAATAGTAAATATTACTTCACTTTGTATTAGTAAGTCTATCTTAGAGCACGCAAGAACAATCCAAAATGAATTAATGCCACTTGTTGGAAAGTATTGTATATGATTTACGTTCAGCATGAAAATGTGAGTCAACTAGTAGAGAAATATAAGCGTATTAATGTCCGAGTCATTAAATTATTTCCTCAACCACAGGATTAAGTGTATTAGTGCTTAAATCATTTATATAAAAATTGCAAATTTTTTATTCCAGGTTGTCGGTTTTGAGTGGTTTTGGTTTCATATTCACAGGTAATTTTTTGTTCTACTTTAATACTGTTACTCCAAATGGAAATTAAATTAATTTCTCTGCATTACACCCTTAAAGAAATATAACAAAACTGTAACTACTATACAAATAAAATTGAGTACCAGAAATATTTGAAGTCAATTTAAATATAAAAAAGTTTTAAAGTGTTAAAGGACTTCTTTTCGTTAATAGGAAAGAAAAAAACTTAGCATTTCAAGAGATCTCGTAAATAATTTGGATTGCTTAAATCTAAACTAGTTCAAAATTGCCCTTTCAGGGGCGGTGGTTTCGCCTTGAAACCGCATTTTCAACATTTTTTTAAATTTAGAAAATTTGGTTTCATTTTCTCAAAACCGCTGCTAAAATTAAATTACTTCTTAAAGCTGATAACAGATGGCAGCACCAGACCTTCCTGGGCATCCATTAATTGATGCGAATCATTCAAAAATAGCTTGTTTGGCACAGTCTTCTTTTTGAGCTGTTTTAAAAGCAAGAAAACCAGCCATTTTTAATTTTTCCATAATATATTTTATAAGCAGGCATCAATGATTAATGTAATGTCCTTGGTTCACAAAAACAAAAAAAAAAAAAAAATAAAAATTAAAAAAAAAAATGGAACCCTTTTAATTTTGAATGTTTTCATCGCGGTTTCAGTATGAAACCACCCCTCTCAGACATCGAAGAAAGGATCAGATGACGCAGTCGCGAGATTTTTTACAGCTGTGCTTATTGCTTTCGAATCACTGCTGTAAACAGTTGCACCATATCTTCGTTTGAGTGGCTTCAAATATGAGGATTTATGGGGCTTTTGAGAGAGGAAAAACATTTCTTATTTTTTACAGAGGCGCAGAGCACACTAAAGAACACTCACAGTTGCGTTTTTATTCTGCTTCTCTTCGCCATCGCTTTTCTCATTCTTCTAGTTCATAGTTAAAATATTTGTATACATCTAAATTTATTTTATTTCCATATATAATTGTCTTAGTTTTTAACATAATTTTTAAAAATATATTTTCTAGTTTTATGTAAGTAATTTAATGCATTTATTAGTTACTTTTTGTCTTATATTTTGTTTCCCGTTTTAAATTTTTTATTTATAATTAAAAATTCGTGTTTATGCAAATATTACTTACTTCATTAGTTGTTCAGTAATTTACTATGCATTAGTTGTTCAGAATTTACTATGTTCAGTTCTGCAACTTGGGTTACGTTCTTCATTAGTTGTTCAGTAATTTACTATGTTCAGTTCTGCAATTTGGGTTACGTTCAGATACTTTCCAGCAAAGTAAAGATAAATAAGCAAATGCTCTAGACGGGCGCTGGTTTCAAGGCCAAACCGGTCTCCTTTACATAAAGGGGGACGAAAAAAATTTTTTTAAACTCATTTATGTTGTCTATAGGACCCTTGCATGACATTATGCTTACTTTTTCATAACTTTTAAAAAATCATAACATTGCGCTCCTGAAAGGGTTAAGCAATTTTAAGAGTTTGAATCAACCTGAGTAGTTTAGCTCTTGATCGCCGTCTTATCAGTAATAAAACGAATATCTTCTGATACAGGTCTACATTTATCATTGTTAAATGTTAGAAAATAAATTTTAAATAAATCTCGATGTGACGAAAGCCTTATATAATAAGATAAAGGATACTAATTCAGAAGTCAAACAACAAAAATCAGCGTTATATTCACAAAATTTTCACAGATAAAGATAAGATAAAGATAAAGGATGTATGAAGGCTAAAAAGATTTGGAGATCATTTACTGCAATTTTAAGAGGTTCAGGAGTTTCAGAGAACAATAAGTAAGAGAAGATATATTTTCAAACGATTACGATCTTTATAATATGGCAAAAATACGCAGGCTGCAGATGCTACTTAGCTAAAGTTATAGATCCATAATTAAATATCGCGAGTATTTAAAGTCCTGGAATTTATGATAATAAAAATAAATCAAAGAGTATTCGCACAGCATGTAAATGGGTTACTTTCTGTTTTATTTCATCATTACATATCATATTTAGTAGAATTTTGGATAATTTATTATATGTATTTCATATTAATTGATTATTAAACTGTTGATAGAATCAAAAGATTTGAGT